TTTTTTTTTTCAAAACTTCGCCATTTTTGTAAATTTGCAAATTTTAATAAAAGGGGACCGTCATGCTGAGCGTTTTTGCATAAATTAAAGAACCCATTTTGTATTTTTTGTTTCAGATCATTTTTGTGACCTGTATGCTGCACGGCGCATTTTCAAGACGCTGTTTTCAAGCCGCCATTGCACCGTTTTATTCTTAACGATTAGTCTTAAAAAAATATTTTCTTTCAATATTATAACGTAAATAAATTGTGCCTTAAATTGCAAATTAATCTACGCATTACATTTTTCAAAAAAAATTCCTGAAAAACAGGCCATTTACATGAGGTTCCCCCCTTAAGGGGGTAGCTTATTTGAGATCTCAGCGCTTGCGCTACGATTTTATTTGGGATTCTTCTCCGGTGATTCGATACCGAGCATCTCTATATCCCCACGAGGATCTATCGTTCGAGTTTATCTCCAGAAAGCTTGCAACTTTGCTAGCACTCACGATTATGCAGAAATTACGAACCCTAGGTATTCAACTCCCTCAAATTTCGATATCGGAGGCTCTAGTTACTAAGATTCCAGCAGTACTCCAAATATCTGCGATCGGAAGGTCCCAGCCTCTTCTTATTTTTAAGCAATTCCTGGAGGATCCGGAACCTTTTTTCTCTAATTAAATTTTATATTGTTTTCACGTGAGACCTTAGTCAGATAGATTGCGACATATTTTTTATTTCGCCTCGCCTCCCCATAAAATGGTCTCTTCCCAAACCTTAGGTCGTTGGGTCAAAATAGTATCAGCCTTAGCAGGGATAGATACTTCAATATTTTCCGCCCATTCCACTAGGCACGCCTCGATCTCATTGGCGGCTAGTAAGGACGTTAATTTAGACGAAATTCATCGAATGGCAGGTTGGAGTGGAACCTCAACAATCTCCGCTCGTTTTTACAATCGAGTGATTAGAAATTTAGTGTTTCAAGCTGCGTTCCTTAAAACGATTTAATCACAATATTCACCGCTTAGCTTATTTTATTCAATGTGTAAGCTATTTTTCACAAAAAGTGATATAATCAAATATAAGAACACTTTTATATCTTGGAGGACAAATTTGAGCGTTAAAGATCTACACATATCCATCCGGACGAGACCTGGCATAATTGAATAGTTGCACGAACTTACCGTGAAGTTCGACTCCAATTATTCTCTTGTCTCGTCGAATGGATGGTCCCTCTCGCCCACCCGTTTCTTCAGATTTGTCGACTTCGAAATTATGATAGCTGCTGCCAGTGCATGCGCGGAGGATAACGACGCAGGGCGGCTTTCTCACTTGAAAGTTTTCTGGGAATAGCGCATCGAAATGCGACTACACATATCCATCCGGACGAGACAAGAGCATAATTAGAGTCAAACTTCACGGTAAATTCGTTCAACTATTCAATTTTTATTATATAGGGGAGATTGGGGCAAGTTTTTTTTGTTACAATTTTTAATTAGCAATTTTTTTCCATCCTAATGTATACATTTAAATTAATGAATACCTATGCATTGCTTCAAGTACACTTTTAACTGAACAGTCAATTTTTTTCTAAATTGTATTTATGTCTTTAAATACTGAAAATTATAATTTTCTTTTAGTAGAGATAGATTGTAACAACTTACTCCACCGAGATCGGAGCAAGTTGTTATTGAGTTAGGGCAAGATATTATACACTTACAATATCACTTGAAATATATTATTATATATAAGTCAATTCAAATTTACAATGAAATCATAAAATACTTCACAAGAAATATTTATTTTTTGTGTGTGTGATGAGGAAATTTACAAAAATATGTTATTACAAAAATTTTTTCTTTAAATAGTTATTAAAGTTAACGTTGGAAAGTCATAAAATTAATATTATGCGCATTTGCTGTTTTTCTCAGAGACAGGCAGCTATTTTTACTTTCTTTGCTGTTGTCGCATACTTACATTTCTGTATTTACAGATCCTCTGTTTTTTTTTTGTAAGATCGCACCATTCTATAGACTTTTATAACTAGATTGCTGATTCAATATGATAGAAAGAGTTAAACCTAATTCCGAGCTACCTTTATTTCAATTCACACATGCATATATTTGCGTCCTGTCTGTGAATATCGCGTATATGAAAACACTAACGTTATAATCCGTGTGATTTATACATATGAGAGTGAGTGAACACAAATATGATATCTTCAAACATAGAAACGAAATTGGCAGTCTGTTTATAGTCTATTTGTAGTCTGTGCATTATTCTGTAGAAGAAAAAAATTGTTCTAGGATAAGTTGTTATGTAACTATAACAACCTGCCCCGATCGAAGTTAATAACTTGTCCCAACCTTCCATTTTCAATTCGAAAAAATACACATCGAAAACCAATACGTATGTATATCGATTCGAACAAAATGTGTTATTATAATGTGTTATTATAATCAAAAGTATATAAAAGAAATATACACCCAGAGAAAGATTTTTTCGATTTAAAGAAATGTTTCTTTGCTATAATATTGGTTAAGGAAAAAATTTCTTTGATTTGAACGTCGTTTCTTTGATTTAAACATTATTTTTTGAAATCAAATAAAAAAATCTATTCGATTTAAAGAAATCATGTTCAAATCAAAGAAATGACGTTTAAATTAAAGAAATGTTTTCTTTAACCATATAGCAAAGAAACATTTCTTTAAATCGAAGAAACCTTTCTCTGGATGTATAAAAAGATAATCACATAATATTTCTAACTTATATACAGTCGAACCTCCGTAAAGTTAACCTCCGTAAAAGTCATATCTTAACCTTTCATATAATAATTGAGCATATATGCTAGCTTTGTTTACTTTTACGGAGGTCGATCGGTCCCGAATAAAATTTTTTTATATATAACCATATATAAACACATATAATTTATATATTATTGTATGATTACATATAATTTGATATATGTTTATATATAATTGTATATGATTCGATACATGTTCACATGAAAATGCCGTAATCATATATGTTCACGTATAATTTCATATATGATCATATATAATTTTATATGTGTTCACATGATAGCATTGTAATCATATATGTTCACTAGGGCTGTACGATGAAGAATTCGATTTCGAACTCGGATTGTAAAATCGATTCAAGTAATCGTCATACAGCGCACCTATCATGAAACAAAGTCGGAATGGATTCCGATCAGAATTATTCCATTTTCCCCAGAAAACACAATAAAAATCTAGGGAATAATTGAATAATTCCGATCGGAATCCATTCCGATTTTGTTTCATGATACCCAGAACAACGTATTTCGATATCGTTACGTAAATCGATTAAAGTAATCGTTACATTGAAACAACTGATTCAATATTGTCACTCAATTTACGATATTCTGAAAAATAAATGTTCTAGAATCACATACATTCGTATCATATTGAAAAAAATGAGTCGCATGATTAATATGCGATTAATATTCGATTTAAGAAGTTTTATCGTGTTTGGTGCAGACAATTTATTATGTTAGAAGAGCTTAAAGTTTTTTACATCATAATTATTACACGTTTATGATTAACGTCCTTTTATAATTACATAGAATCTGATTAATTATTAATTTAGCAATTATTTCTTTAATACAGTTTTTTTGTTTATCTGATGAACATATTGAAAATTTTTGTAATTTTTGCGATTGGAATTTTATAATATCTTCTTTTATTGTATTAATAAGACTAATTGATTCTGTTCGGAAATAATTTAGTTTGAATCGCGGATCTAAAAAGGTTGCCGTTTAAATAATCTGTTTCAGGTTTTTGATATTTCTCTCTTAATGATTGGTAGTTTGATTTCATTTCAGGCTGCTTCTCGCCCTGATGCAGTGGACTGCAAGGTTCACGAAACGTATACTTGTATTAAGTGTATCATATATGAACAATAAGAATGTGTGTATTGATAGTTATAAAGTCGCGTGGCGGATAAGGTACGAGACTCATAATCCTTGAGGTTCCAGATTCAAAACCCGGTAAGTGAAAAAGATTAAAATATACTTAAAAATTAGAATTAATTAATAAAATTAGTTGTCTAATATTTAGGCACTGTTGATAAAAAATAAATAAAAAAAAATTTTTTTTAAATATTTTTAAAAACATTTTCAAAAACATTGTCTGCTGATT